TAGTTTGTTCTCGATATGGCGGATGCATTTTTTTTTATTTTGGACCGTATTTGAAATTTGGGATAATGATGCCATCAGGTCATTATGTAATGTTTGTCGCAGAGAAAAGAGCATGGAAATCTCCGTGATAGGTTGGTCAGAAGCAGGATAGGATTCGATTAAAGATGGAGCATTAGCTGATAGGATAGTAGCTGAAAGAGAAGGTTGTTGTCTGTCAGGGGGTGTTCCTGTGTCCAGTCTGGGCCTGGATTTTGCAGGGCAGCTGGATGTAGGAGACGGGGGGAGAGGACTCACCAGGATCCCGTGGGTTCAGCGATCCTTTCAGCCTGGGGTCCGGATGGTATGCTGCCTGGTGGTCTGTGGTCTCCCCTTGCTGTTGTTGCTGTGCAGACAGGCTGTTCTGCAGGGGGCCAGGGCCATCTTGGCTGCAGGGGATGATTGCCGGGAAGAAGCTGGTCATCTTTCCAGGATGACCTGGTGTTTTCCACCTGCGGGTCATAGCCCGTTCGGGTGGCGAGGGGTTAATGGCTTTAATGAGGTGATTGATTTTCCATGGGGTCGTAGTGTGCCGTTGTCACGCTGGCGGGTGGACGGAGCTCTCTTCAGTGAGCGTCCATTCCCAGGGCCAGCTGCGCATGTGCCCCCTCTTGCACACCATCTAGTGCACATGTCAAACACATGGCCCGCAGGCTGGACAGAACTCCTCCTATAGATCCTGTGCCTCTCTGTGCAGCCGCAGCACCTCCTAGTCTCCGCTTCCCCTGGTCTCAACATTCAGCAGACTCTGGCAGCTGACTCCAACCCTCCTCTAGTTCTCCTGCAGACCCTGCACATATTGCTTCCCAGCTCCACACCCAGTATGTTTCTGGCAGAAGCACAAGGTAAGAGTGGTACACTGTGATGTAAGGGAAGGTGGGGGACTCATGCATTATAGTATTTAGGGGGGTGCTCTGGACATCTAATCTTACAGTTAAAACTGGCCCTTTGAGGGCAACCATAATGCTGATGCAGCCGACAATGAAATTGAGCTTGACACCCCCGATCTAGTTCTTGGATTTCTATTAAATGTGCACAAATATAGCTGCATACACTGTACAACACTCCCCTGTGCTTGGTTTACTGAGGCCTTTTGCAAACCAAGGTTTTTACAGTCTATTAAAACTAAATATTACCAGGACAAAATAGAGTCACTTGTATACTAGCCTATGCTGAGGTTGCTACAGTCCGGTCACATGATCTATCCAGTGGCCAGATTTAGTGAAGAGAGATCACTGACTTTCAGAAGCTCTCTCAAGATAGCCTCTATGCTACTTCCGGTTTAAGTCCACGTCCGACGTCACGTCCCTTGACACGTTTCGTCACTTCCAACTTCTTCAAAAGGAAGTCGGAAGTGACGAAACGCATGAAGGGACGTGACGTCGGACGTGAATGTAAACCGGAAGTAGCAGAGTGGCCATCTTGAGAGAGGTTCTGTATACCATATGCTGTTTCTGAATGGACACAATACTTATACATTGAGGAGATATGCGGTTTTAAAAAAGGTTTTCTTGTAAGCACAATTTTAATAAAAATAGACGCATTTATAATATATACTACACTATGTGGTCTTTCTCTTTTGAACTATGATATGATGCCCTAATGAGATTGGAAGCTGGGTCAGTGTGGAATGAGAGGAGCCATTTCTCACCTATGCTAATGGAAATTTAAATCTGGTAAGAAGCATGGTTTGGAAGGTGGTGGCAAGTGGATTTTGTTGCACTAGTGGTGTTGAAGAGGGGAGCACATATTATTATATGTTTAACCTCCTTGGCGGTGTTCCCGAGTGTAGCTCGGGGGTAGAATTTCTATACCAAGAATGGTAACCCCGAGCTACACTCGGGCTTACTATGCAGCGTTCTCTGGGGGTCCCTGCAGCACTTACCTTGTCCTTCGCTCCCACGATGTGTCCCCTGCAGCGTCCCCGTCCATCTCCTCCGGCGGATGCCGGCATCTGACTTCCGTGTTCCGGTCCCCGTGACGTCTGAACGTTCGGGCAGCGGAACCGGCGGGAAATTTGAAATTTTTAAAAAATGACATTTTTGCTGTCATTGCTTTTTCACTGCATTTCACATACATTGTGTCCCCACTGCTTTGTCCAGTGCCCTGCCTGCATTTTGACTGTTCTTTCTGCCTGGAAACTTAGAAAAGTCCATGGCGGCCAAAAAGCGTCCCTTTACATCAAAAGCGGTTTTAGAACAGCGATAGTAAATCAGAACCACTTGCAGAATTGAGTGATAATGATTTGTGGGGAAATTCGTCATCAGACACTGAAAACGATTTTGCGACTTTGCTCAGCGATGTGCGAATTTGCCTCTGTATTTCAAATTTCAGTGTTTTCGGTTTGATTATATTATTGAATTAAATTTATTATTATTATATTATTATTTTTTATGATTATTTATTAAATTATAATTTATGATTTCGTGTTTCAAGTTTTATCATATCCGGAATGTTTAATAGACTCTTTTTCGGATAGATTTCAGTGAGTTATTCCTAAAAATTACAGCCTACAATTAAAAACTACATATTTCCATGCAAAAAAATGGTACCGCTTTCAGCACAAAATTCCTGACATGATCATACCGCCAGGGAGGTTAAAGGATACTACACTATCATACATTTTCTCCACGAGGTATTCTTTATGAAGATAAGGATGCATTCGAAGGATCAGTTTTTGAGTGGATTTTAATATGTAATGAGATTCAAAGTCATGTACAAGTATTTTTAGGGTAAGAGTATTTAATTCAGCCACATAAAAGTGGACACTGGGTGATTTATGCAAATCCTGAATACAATATACACTGAGATTTAGATTTTGAGCTTTATTTGACATTTATGCAACAGGGATAATGCACTATATTTAGTTTTTGTTTTTTGAGGAAAACGTGGATATTTAAGAGTGATATTTTTGGAGACAGATCAAGTGGAAGTATGAATCTTGAATACTTGAAGATTCACAGACGCTAAAAAGTTTATTTGACTTTGGACTTCTGGGGGAGAAAGTATGACTTTTTGTGCGTCTAGGGTGTTTTATATATATATAATATTGTGGGTATACCAATTTTTGCAATTCAGGAGTTATACATAGATACGATACAAGTCCCATGTGGACATATCAAGCACTTACAACTATCATCTTCAAACTCCACCAAAAGTTTGGTCTGTCATATATATCCTTTTTATCTTTCAAGCACATCCATCAGTGCAATATCACATGGATAATGATAGCCCTATGTATCTTATGCCTCAGGTAGCAAATATGGCTCACTATGGGAATCGCAATGTATTAAAGCAACACTCACAGCACCTCATTGCCGCTTCGAATCCAGTATGGGGACACCGCCAGGTGCTGTTTCCGGACATGATGATGTCATTGCGTTGACGCGTTTCACCCACCAGTTACTGTGGACTTCTTCAGAACCTTCTATCTGAGGCATAAGATAAATGGGGCTATCACTATCCACATGATATTGCACTGATGGATGTGCTTGGACGATAAAAAGGATATATATATATATATATGAGAGATCGAACACTTGTTGGAGTTTGGAGATGATAGCCGTAAGTGCTTGATATGTCCACATGGGACTTGTATAATATCTATGTATAACTTCTACCAATCAATTTCCTCTCTTTCTCTCCTTTGATGGGTTCCTTGCTTCCTATATCATCATTCCTTGCATCTGAATATGTGTATAAACTTGTTCACAAATATAGCACATCCATGTCAATCTAACGCAACTCTAGGCTTGATTATAGTGAGAAAATAAATTTAGTCCACATATCTATTGCCTCAGCTTGCCTGCATGTGCAGTGGATCTCTCACTCCATACCTACAAGCAAATATTTTGGATAGATAATACTGCTGCTAACACTTGCTAAAGCTCTCTTATACTAACTGAAGCTTCTATTTGCTTTATGAACTCCATATTTGCTCACTGTCTGGGTTACTTATAAAATGGACTTATGAAAGGCTTTATATGCATGGATCACCTCTTTATGCTATTTCAACAGCCAAATCACTTGTGATTACATAGTAGTGATTTATGCGAAATAGCTCATCATTGTCTAGAAATTGTTCTAATGAATTTATAAGTATCTATCTAGCGCTCATGACCATTAATGCCTTGTTATTACACTGTAAAGATACCAACTAGGTATCTTTGATTGTTTTATTTGGCTAATATATATGTGTGTTCACTAAGGGAATGTGTCTTTCATAAAACTTATTTTTGATTAGTTTTTTTATATTGTCTTACTGATTAATCATTAATAAAGCTTTGTGCATTTTTCCAATAGCTACTCTATTTGGGTGGTTAAGTACCGTATATTCCGGCGTATAAGACAACTTTTTTTACTTAAAAACATACTCCAACAATTGGGGGTCGTCTTATACGCTGGGTATAGAACCGCTGGATGTGCGGTAATACTGTACGGTACCTTCAGCTACATACAGTGTACCGCGCTGAGCCAATCACGGAGAGCGATGTATTCTATTAATGAATACAGAGCCTACTCGGATTGGCTGAAGTTGTGACATCATCAGCCCACCTCTCTGACGCAGCCAATCCGAGCAGGCTCTGTATTCATTAATAGAATACATCACTTGCCGTGATTGGCTCATATGACGTCCTCCCATTCTCCGCGCATGCGCGGCGATGCGATGTGTCCCTCACACAGGGAAATGCTGGTTATCGGCATTTCTCTCCTCTCAAGCTGTCACGCTGACAGAGGAGAGGAGAGCCAGTAATCTGCTTCCCGCGGAGGGGACATGTACACTGATTATCAGGGCACTGATGATCAGTGTGCCCTGATGATCAGTGTAGCCCCAGCAGTGCCAGCTGTCAGTGTCCATCAGTGCCACATCAATGCCACATATCAGTGCCTACCAGTGCACATCAATGCCACATATCAGTGCCCATCTGAGCTGCCTTTCAGTGTCATCCATCAGTGCCAGTCAGTGCCACCTATCAATGCCAATCAGTGCTGCCAATCAGTGCCAGTCAGTGCCGCCTATCAGTGCCATGTATCAGTGCTGCCTTTCAGTGCCCATCAGTGATGCCTGTCAATGCCCAGCAGTGCCACCTATCAGTGCCAGTTAGTGCCGCCTATCAGTGCCAGTCAGTGCCACCTAACAGTACCAGTTAATGCTGCCTATCAGTGCCGCCTATCAGTGGCATGTATCAGTGCTGCCTTTCAGTGCCCATCAGTGATGCCTGTCAATGCCCATCAGTGCCACCTATCAGTGCCCATCAGTGCCACCTATTTCATATGGGTAGTGTTGCATGACCGCGCAATTGTCATTCAAATTGTGACAGCGCTGAAAGCTGAAAATTGGCCTGGGGGGAAGTGGGTATAAGTGCCCTGTAGACTAGGGGTTAAATAGGGGTTAAATTGGTTCTCAAGGTCTTGAGAATGCCCGATGGGAGGGGCGAAACGCGTTGACGCATTTCCGGTCCATTTGCTGTACGTCTGACGTCACTTCCGGTGAGTGGAGCGCACGCCGAGCAGTGCGTTCCAGCGGCCATTTTGTGGGATTCGTGTTGAATATTGGTTAAGTCTCTGCCTCATCTGGCTGCATTGATGTGGGAACCCTGGAGGATTTGCTGGCTGTGATTATCTGGCTGTCTTGGGCCCAATAAATGTGCTTTTATTATTCATTTGAATGTGAGTGGCCTGGAGTTTGTTTAATATAGGATCAGAATGATCTTGGCAATATTACACTATGTAAGTTTTTTTCTCTGAGAACACGGTGGAGGAAGCGAGGAGACCACGGTGAGGACCTGAAAGAGGATCCTATCTTTGGGAGGCTACTTTTGAGTGGATGGAAAGAGGGTGTGGGATTCCCTATTAAAATCCCAAAGGCTCTACATTCACCTTATTCTGGTGAGTGCATTTGATGTTGGTGTGCACGGGTGGAAGGTGGAAGGCTAAGAATTTGATTTGGAGGTTTTTATTTTGCACCACAAGGGACTTTTAAATGAGTTTTTTGACACAAATATGTACTAAGTGATATGGGGTTTTGATATCTTGTTATTTAATATTATCTATTTTGCGCTTGTTTATTTTTCACATAATTCCTGATAAGCTGAGTCAGCACAGGTCTCTAATGCAGGCCATACATGGGTTGAAATTCGACTGATTTTTTTCATCCTAATATCGGATCTAAGAATAATCGACCGGTTTTCGCTCTGTTAGGGGGTCAATTTTCGTGGTTCCTCCCCTTTTCAGTGATCGGGCATGTTGGAAAATTCATGAAAAACGACCGATTTTTGACTCAATGATGGTCAAATCAAGTGATCATTTTTCCAAAAAGAATATGCGCATGAGCAGTGACCTGGAAGAAACAGAAACTTGTTATATGTGGTGAGCTTTATCACTTGGTCAGCTGATTTTCGAAATCATTGATGACACCATCGGATTACCGAGCGAACAATGTTTTCGATTTTCGGACAAAAAATCATTTGGCATTTGACCCATGTATGGCCTGCATTAGGTAGTAAACAAATATATCCTCCACTTGGGAATTTTATGTGCTCCTGTCCACCTTGTGCTTCAGCATCTCTTCCACAAAAAAGAAAACATGCAACAGAGAAAGTAAAACCCCATTATAATAGCTGCAGCAGCTGTGTAGACTCAGGAGTTGAACACAACAGATCTCGATAGAGACCTTGTGCAATATAAAAAAACTGTCAAGTGCTTTAACCACTTGCCCTCCAGAGGATTTACCCCCCTTCCTGACTAGGCCATTTTTTGGCATACAGTGCTGCGTTACTTTAACTGACAACTGTGCAGTCATGCAATGCTGTACATTAATGAAATATATGTAATTCTATTCCCACAAATAGAGATTTATTTCAGTGGTATTTGATCCCCTGTGTGTTTTGTTTTTGTAAAAAAAGACTGACCATTTTGAAAAAAAAAACTAAATATTTTTGTTTTGTAAAACATATCCAGTAAAAGAATTGTCATAGATTTTGGGCAAAATGTATTCTGCTATATGTCTTTGCTTAAAAAAAAATCCCAGTACATGTAAATTAATTGGTTTACGTTAAAGTCATAGCGTTTACAAATGGCGGTATGTATACTTTTTTTTTATACTAGTAATGGCGGAGATCAGCAACCTATAGAGGGACTGCGGTGAGCATTCTGACACTGGGTGGGAATTGACTAACTGCCACTGGCATCCCAATTACACTAATACAGTGATCAGTGCTAATAAAAAGTTCTGACACTGTACTAATGACACTAGGCAGAAAAGAATTAACATCTGGGGCGATCAAAAGGTTAACTGTGTGCTGTTTTACATAGTGTGCTGTGTGTGTTTTTCTACAGAAACATGCTGCTGCATGGCCGGATCTAGGTAATGGCGGTTGGGGGGATTTCTGCTAGGAGAAAGATTTGGGGGGATTTAAGCCAGGAGGGGGCTTGGGGGGAATTTTTGTGCTAAGAGGAGGCAGGGGATTTGGGCTAAGAGCGGGCAGAGGATTTGGAAAGGGAGAGGATCTGTGCTGGGAAGGGTACTTTGGAAGGGGTTGTGCTAGGAGTAGGAATTTATAGGAATTTGTCATAGGGAGAGGATCGGACGATGGGGATTTGGGGGAGGGGGGGATTTGTGCTAGAAGAGGGATGCGGGATTTGTGCTAGGAGAGGGGATTAGTGGGGGGATTTGTGCTATAAGGGGGATTGGGGATTTGTGCTAGAAGGGGAAATTAGTGGGGGGATTTGTGCTAGGAGGGGGGGGAGTAGTGGGGGATTTGTATGAGAAGGGGAATGAGGGGGATTTGTGCTAGGAGGTGGTGAGTAAATTTGGGTTAAGAAGGGGGACTGGGGGGGGAATTAGGAGATTTGTGCTTGGATGGGAAATTTGAGAGGAAGGTGGATGTGTGCATGGAGGGATGATTTTTTTGGGTGAGGGAGATTTGTGCTAGGAGGGGTGAATTGGGGGCACTGGAGGCGGTATTGGGGGGGGGAAAGATTTGTGCTGGGACGGGGTTTTATACTGGGAGGAGGAGAAATTTTTGCATTGTTTGGGGAGAATTTTGGCTTGCAGACAGAAGTTATGCTTGGGGGGAGCATGCTGATTCGTTCTGTTCTTTCTTTTTTGAGGGGGGGGGGATTTATGCTGAGACCGGATGCTCACACATGGGGGGGCTTAGTTTGTCATCTTCGCCCTGGGAGCTAGGCGACCTTGTTCTGGCACCACACACAGGACAGTTAATAGATCTCCTCCTCCCCACTCAACACATTGCTGAAATCAGATTCCCTTACAGACACAGACTCAATCTGCAGTGTATAGCTGGCTACTATGTTGCAGTTCTGACCCTGTCCTCTCCTCTTCTGACAAGTGAAACAAAAACTAGAAGTGTACCAACCTTGCGCATTACCGCAGTAACCAAATGTATTAATTAAAGAATGGTACTCACAAACAGCGAATAAAATCAGGCATGTAGTCCTCAAAGGGACTTCAGAGATAAGGAGCCAGCGCGAATCCCATCATGGGGGTAGACACTCAGTACAGCTGACGCGTTTTGAAGGCCATGCCTACTTCATCAGAGCTAACTGGACTGAGAGTGTTCACTCCCTTTTATGCCAACAAACTAAAATTTGTCCCTCCCCACTGGGTTGGGCAGTCTCAGGCTGGGAGGAGGGGCTAAGATGTCAACAAGATATAATATCTCATTATCAAGCTATCAGAAGACAGATAAAAAATACAATAACACATTCAATTTAAATGCATAAAATCGTAGCAGTAATAGTGAAATACATACAAGAGAAAGAAGAGGAAGAAGAACTCATAGATGGATGATCAATAAATAAATAACAAGTGATTTGTATATAAAATGGGCAATTCATCCAGAGTGCTTGCTGAAAGTTAATAAAAAAATGACAGAAAATACATTGATTAATCAATAAATAGGTGCATGTACATTTGTAAATATAAAAAATGAATATTCACATGTATTACCAGGCAAGGCGTGACTGATGCAGGTAGGGAAGTGGAAATATCATGTTTCCAGTGGACCAGATGGATTAGTAATATCATCATGTTCGGCAGCAGAGGGAGATCTTGTGTTATTTAATATGGCTGCAGACTGGTTCTGACTGTGGAACGCACGCCAGTATGGCGTGGTAGTAACTGCGCGTGCACGGTCTCGCTCGCATGCGCATGCGCAATAGGTAGGGACGTGGTCCGTCGGCGCGATCACATAAGCGCAGATCAGATGGCCAATGCGCACACATGAAGCAGCTCAGGCAGAAGCAAATATCCGGGAGAGCTCTCTCAGTTCAGAAGGCTAACTAGCCTCAACTGTGCCTAATCAATGGGGCGATATTAGAGGGCACTAGCTCCCACAAATGAAGAAGAGTTGTGGAAAATGTAATGATTACATACTAATTAGATAATTGATAAATAAATAAATAGATGGATAAAATACCTGAGTAATTTTTATATATACACATGTATAATAGTATATACCTGTAAATAGTATCAATGTTCAGTATAAATGAACTGCCAATGAAAACATAAGGTAGCCAAGCACTGAGGACATCACTCCCACATCCAAGAACCTATCATATTCATAAAACCACATTAAAAAAATAAAGAAATATATATATATGCATAAAATTATGTACAATAAATATGTTAAATGCATGATGCCAACAACAATATGAACAATAAAACACAATAAAGAAATAATATATATATATATATATATATATATATATATATATATATGTACATAGATATAAATCCACACACATATATATGATTTAACATGAATTATAGTTGTGAATATAATGGAATAAATAAATAATATGGTGTAGATGTATGAGCAATTGCATAATTACTGTAAATAAATAAATAAATAAATAGATCAATACATATGTGTATGTGAAACTAAATTGGAAACGAATTCAAATGCACATAAAATGATGTATTATGGTGTATATATATCAATTTATCTCTATACAAATATGGTATCCAGTAGGACATAGGCTCAATGCGCTCATTAACAAGGAATCATATTGTGTTGGGAGGTTGCAGATAATCACACCATACCCTCAGAAAGAGCAATGTACGTGGTATAATATAATATTGTTGTGGCCAGCACTAGTAATAGATGGCAGCAATAATCATAGCCGACCCACTGCTGGTAGATAGATGAATAATTAAATTATTAAGAAATTAATTAATATGGATAATATGAATAAATGAATACATTTTGTCATTTAAAACCACACATAAAATACAATGAG